TGCAAAATAATGGGACTTTCCCACATCTTCAACATGTCTTGATTCTGAGACCTCCGAGGTCGCGAAGTGCTGCAATGATCAAAGACGGTGGCAGGAGTATGTCTAGCCGTCGCGATCTCATTGGCTCGGGCCGAAGACCCTGCGCAGGATCGGCCCGGAAGGAAACCAAGACCCAATGCCAACTTGCGAGCCCTGTGTGTTTGACTTAAACCCATCAAGCCATCAAAGCCAAAAGCACCGACCAAATCTTCTGTCCTTCGGTCATCTAGGTCCGCCAGAGAGGATAGAATAAGTTACCAACTTGTTTCTGTCTATTTTAGTAGGGTCCCGAACCCTCCCAACCAAAAAAGGGATTGCTGGGGGACCTAGTCTGACTAGGTGTTTTGGGTAGTGGGGGGGCTCTCAGAGCAGCTTCCCAAACCTCGGCTCGCCTGTGTGTCCGCTTCACGCGGCTGGTCTGCGTCTCCGTTCTGCCAGGGCCGGACGTTTGGCCACACGCGGCGACTCAGACGCCCCGAACCCAGCATAGCCTTCTTTGCAAGTGGTTGGAAGCCATGCTCACCCAGTGGATCCATTTACCTTAGTGGGTGACCAAGCAAAACCAGCCTTTACAAAGCAAACAGGAAGATTCAGCTGGTTACCTCCAAGGGTCACTGCGATAATCAGAGCGCTTCGTGGGGAAACGACCGCCTAAGAAAGGACATGGACGCTTCTCCGACAAGTTGGCTCCATTTGGCTCACAGACTTTCTTAGAACACGCGCATCAAGGACTCGTATGTTTTGCAAATTAAGAGAGAATAGCAACTGCAGAACATGCTCTCTGTCTATTCGTGAGTAAGGATACCTGAAAGAAAGCGGCGCAAAAGCCAACAGGACGTCTCGGGTCTACACTTCGATTTCTCTCAACTATTCAAATTGCCGCGCTGTCCTCTTGGTTTCCCTGACCCGCGCTGTCCTCAGATCACGGAAAGGTTTAGCTTTTACTTGGTTGACGTTGGAAGGGGAGCTAAAATTTGAATTTTAGCAGTTAAGTGGTTGGATTTCAACCACTAAACCACAACAAGCAAAAATGCAACATGTTTCCCAACGACAACCATGTTTAGTAGCTTAAATTGAAATATCCACTAAAACCCTAAAAACTAAAACGCAAAGGATCCGGATGGCTGGGAGCCACACAGTTCCCCTTTCAGCGAATGCCAAAAGAGTACCATCCAAAATAGACGCGACATGGGGAGGAGAGAGACGTGGCTTCCCTTCCCTCCCCAGCCTCCTCGTCTCCCTAGCGGAGGCAAAATAAGTCAGTTCCGGCGACGCCAAACACTGTTTGGGTGTTTCCAAATACGGAAATCCCCCGCCCGGAAAAACAATGAATAAGGATGCACACAAAAAATGCCTTTCTTGAAATCCCCCAATATGATTCCCCCCCACATTTCAAACAAAAATGGTGCAAAAAACAAGGCATTTATTGTTGTGCACACCCAAAGCGTTGGTCTCCGAAAAGGAAACCAATTTGGGTTCGGCTTCCGCTTCTCCTCCCTTCCAAGAATAACCCGAAGTGGCCGCTCCTGCGCAGAAACCAGTTGAATTATCGTATGCCCCCAGGGTCCAAGTACCACGTGCGGGGGGATTTGCGGACCGTGTACTTGACAAATCCTCTGGAGACAAACCCAAAACCTTAGATACCGGATGGACGACATGCTGCACCACGTAAGAAATCATGATTAAACCCATTATTCATCAGTATTTACAGGGGACTCGAATCACTCCCGCGTTTCTTAGGAATTAGGTGGTGCGGGATTTCGTTCATGCATAGTATGGCGCACTTGAACCCTTTCGGATAATTGAGAATTGGATGACTTTCAATCCGGACCTTGATAGAATCTCCAAAAGGGGAACGACAAAACTGGGCTGTCCTCAGATCACCTGCTAAATGTTTAACTTTTAGTGGGTTAAGTGGACATACCCACTAAACCCTAAAAAGCTAAACAAGCCAAGGGGATGGCTGGGAGCCACAAACAAAACAACACACATGACTCAGCCATTCATGCGATTGCTGTACAGGTGAGACCCCAGCGGCCGTTTGCAGGCTGCGTTTCACCACTTCTGGACGAGGCAATGTTAGACCACGAAAGGGTCGTGCAACAACATGTGGACTGTTCGTGGTCCGGCTGGGGGACGTTTCATAAGGGTTGCCAAAAAAAACAATAGATGGCAAATCACTAATGCTACAGGTGTCCAAGCTGCCAAGTCGGCTGGCTCCGAGAACCAACCCCTTGTTAGAACCAACACGTGGCCACTTGTGAAGGCAAAAAACAAACAAAACACGCGGAACCCAACCCCAGTCGCAGCCATCCTTCCTTCCAACGTTTGACCCCCCCCCCCAAAAAAAAAAAAAAAACGGCGCTCCGCCCGCCTGGGCGCTGGCTGCGCCGGCGCCGGCGCTTGCGCCAGCAGCGCGAGGCGCTGCTCGTGGGTGACGTTGGGGGCCAACAAGTCCAACTCTTGGAGCCAGGCCCAAACCCAGCCTGCCACCGGCAAACACACACCGACGTTCTCAAGGCAAAACGTATGGCATTCTACCAAAAAATGCTGTCTGTGGATATTTCTACAACTCCAGGCAACAGCCCAGCCAGCCAGGGCAAAAACCATCGACTTAAGCGCATGCCCAGGGGGAAAAGTTGAAAAAAAGGGAATCTTGTTTTTGTCTGGAGTTGAAAGGGAACTCTTCCCAACAAACAAGGGGAAAAAAGGGCACCACTGGGCAACTGGGTCGATGTTCTCAAGGAATTGCTGTTTGGGTGTGGCTCAAAATTAAACAGAAGGGGCAAACCGCAGGTTTTGGTCCACGTTTCCACTCACCAGGGTTCCATTTTGGTACCACAGCCGTTTACCTAAAATGGCCCTCCCAAAAAAAGAAAGGTCCAGGAACTCAGGACGTGATTTTTTTCTGTGGGTATTTCTCCACTGGAATTTCTCAACCGATGAGGGTGCAGAGAAGAGCCGGCAAAAACGCCGAATCTGAAAAGGGAGTCCACTAGTTCATGCAAAAGGTGGTCATTGTGACCTTGGAGGGCAGGGGCCTCTCAAATGGCGATTCGTCAACCAAGTAAAACCGGATTACCATTTTGAGAAACTCCTCATCTGTGGAGGGACCTCGAGATTAAGCAACAAACTGGTGCGGGATTTGGCTTGGAGTCCCATCTGTATCACTTCTTGGGCCCCGATGGTTGCATTTGAAGTAACCATGGCCTGGTCACCAAAAGGGGATAAGTCTGACAGGGGAACCATATCCGAAATGCTTGAACATCGCTCTGCGCTACTCGCGCCTTTACCACGCTCTGCTTGAACCAATCGAACCCATCAATCTCAACTGAAACCAAAGGGACCTGCGGCCCCCAAATCAAACTAGACTGCGGTTCAACAACCAACGTGACACCAACCATCTTGATGTTTGACGGACACAGCCAACCAGACATGTGTATGTTGCAGATTGCAGGGTATCTTGCATTTGTGCTGTGAAACGAAGGGGACATCTCGCACTTCTTTCGGAGGGTTCTCCCATGGTCCTATTTGGAAAAATAAAACTCTAGACGAAAACAACATGGATGCTCCAACCTTGGAATCCGCATTCTCAGTTGTTCAGTGACCCTGGAAAAGATGGGAACCTTTTTTTTGGGAAGACAATTTTTAGCGGAGCAGCCACCAATCAAAAAGGGGACAAAGGGTTCCACTGAACAACTGAGCAATTGGTTGCGCTCTGGCCGCTGGCCTTTTTTTTTGCTTGGCCTCAAAGCAAGAAAGCGGGTGCCTGGACCCTGTGACTACCCATGACAACAGGAATTCAACCCATAATTTAGGGCCATCCTCACTTTTCGAGGGAATTTTGAGGGCCAGAACCTCGTTTCGAGGGAAGTTTGGAGGGTCCATGGATTCTTTCGGATTCTTTCAGTCCCACAGGAAGCCACAGGTGGATACTGCCAACTCCTTCCTTCGCGACGACTCGACTCGGGAGCGACGGACTCGGCCTTCACCCATGCGGATATCCGCCTTGATGATCTCACCCGTGCGCGGATCCACCTGACCATTTGGAGGGTGATTTGGATGGGCCCAGTAGGAATTTGAATATCTTGTAGGGAGGGGGACCATTCTCTGACCAATACCTGAGCCCGATGATCCGTACCAAGACTAATGGTCAGGGACTATGGGAGGAAAAAATGATGTCTTCTAGAGAGGGGTTGTAAAGGAAAACCTAATGGAAGCCAGCACCCTTCTTGGGTGGATCACTCGTTGCAATACGAAATCCATTTCGCATCACCTATGAAACCCAAGGGAATGACAATGATGGTTTGCCATGGTCTCTTAGTGGTGCAGCATGTCGTCCATCCACAGTATGTCGGATAAATCAAAGGTTGGCATGTTTTGGGGAAGCATGTTCTGGGTTCGTCAACTCGTGACAAAGTCACTCAGCTGCAGATGTCTTGAAAGCCTCTATGGATTTCAGACACCCATGGTGAGGATTCTGGTTGAAGGGACCAAGTCCACCAGAACAAAAGGAGCTTTTCTTGCCCACAGCGCGCCCGAAAAGGGGTGCGCCGCACTTTGACTGGGTTACAAGCCGTACTAAACAAAAAAGTCTGAGTCACTCTTGGGTAGAAGCCTCCCTGAACGAAACAGGACCCACAACCAAATTTCCGTGGTGGCTTGATCATTTCGCGACTCGGAGACATAGACGTGGCTGGCCCTTTCTGTGATACCAATCCTTGACTCTACTGAATGTCAGGGGAAAAACACATTTTCACATTGACGACTCAACGAAATTCCCCATTTTGACACAAGTGGCGTGCCCACACTTTCCTCGCAGCAGAAGAATCCTGGAAAAAACCTGGAAGATCAAGGCCAATTGGTTGAAGGAAGGGTAGAGGTTTGGGAAGAACCTCGCACATCCAATGCCTGGTAGCCCAACTGACACAACTTCAACCCACGAAAGCTACAGTCAAGATGAATTCCCAGCTGACAGCCGACTTTGGTGACACTCCCGCCATTTCCTGATGCATTCGTAAGTGTGCCTGCACGGCAATTGACGTTGACAGCTTCTCATCATTGGGATTGCTCAAATGAGTCATCAAGCCATGAAGCTTAGAATGTATCTCCAACTTGCATTGACATTCAAACATCATCCTGCTTTCGGGCAAATATGAACCGCTGCTCCATTGCTGCGGAGGAGCCCCCCAAATATTGCAAGGTGTGACTTGACGTGGTTGGCCCACAGGCAAGTTCGGGCTGGGTTGTTCCCAATGGCATCCCTAGTTTGATCCAGAATCCGCATCAATGGAAACCACCAGGGGAACCTCATTTTGGCTAAGAGCCCAAATAAACGGGGGAGCCCACTTTTGGGGGTTTTGAGATCCATTTTCTCAAAAACATCCACGTTCCAGCTGGCGAGCTTATCGGATCCAGTCGGATCCAATCGCCTTGGCATCGCCTTCGCTGGAGATTTCATCTGCGATGGACCAGGAGATGGTGCTGTAGCGAGCGTCCGCCTCGGTCTGATTGTCTCAGTCCCACGGCCAAGCCGACTGCAAGGCTCACTTTCGTGGACTGGCCGGCTTGGAAGGAAAAACAACAACAGCGACCAAACTGGTTGCTTGCCACTTAAGAATAACAGAAGCATAACTAAGTGAAACAAGTCCAGGGAGTGAGCAACGCCTCCACAAATATGGGTCAGGTGGCCTCAGGCGGGCAACAAAGGGCCAAGGCCAGATTTGTTGCTCAGCGAAGCAGCTGGGTTCCTGAGCCCAAAGGTGGCACAACATGACACTGAACCGACTCAATGAATCGGAGGTTTTTTTCTTCTCAAAAAACGTATGAGGTACCTATGACATGGCACACACAAAGCTGTCTGCTCGTTTGGACACGAGGTCAGGTATGCATCCGACAGGGGTTGAAGGGCAAGTCGGATGGAAACCCGGAGAAACCAGCACAAATATCGCATTCAGGGAGTACACAAAAGCTCAGCTGACCAACAGCGGGTCCCTGTGGGAGTACGAGGCAGGGAAAATGGCTTGCCAATGGAATGAAAGGGTCTGAATCCCGAAGTGAGCCGTTACTGTTGCTGGTCTCAACTATGGGGGCCTTGCAAGTGCGACCCACCAAGTATGGCAAGGTGCTTGTGTTCTACCCTGGCATACACCCTCGCAAAATGACCCAAACTCGTCCGAACTTGCCAATTGTTGTCTGGAAGCAGGCCCCTCTACAGATTAATATGGACACCCCAAAACCGCAGGCGCGGCTGAACGACAGTTTAACCAGGTCCGATGATTTTGTTGGGAACATAAAGGTTGCCCGAAGAACGAGCCCGGAGCCAAACATGGGGCACTTCTGAGAGCACCGTTTTGTTTCGCGCGAACCCTACGGCTCCCATTGGCCATCCGCCTTATCTGGGCTGTCCGATGTCCGATCCCCCGCTAAAAGTGACTAACGTTTAGTGAGTTAAATGGAAACTACCAAACGATAAAAGCCTAAAAAACTAAGGGGATGGCTGGGAGCCACCAAGCAAAGGTTGCCCGAATAACCAGCCCAAACCAAACATAGGGCTCTTCTGGGAGCACGGCCTTATTTCGCGAGAACCCCACGCACCGAATTGGAAAGTTGGACCTAAATCCAAACGGAGCCCCTGGGTTTTTGCACCCAATCTCCTTCTTGGCCGTCTACGGCGATGCACGCCGTAGACGATCTGCCCCCAAGGGACCAGACGGCCCCCTTGGGGGACCCAGTTCAGGTTTCAAAGGGCAAACCGGGACCAAGTGCCACTTGGGCTTCGGCGCATCCGTTGTGTCAAGAGACGGCAAGGTGACGTCCCGTGGGACGCTATGCACCGAACCCTCCAGCTGTAATACCAACCACGTAGAAAGGTGTATACAGACGATGCCGTTATAGCCGAACCCGTGTAAACGTTGTAAGGGGGAAGGAATGATAGTTACAACAGTGGTCCTGACAAATGCAGCGCAAGCGAAGTGTTTTCCGCTCTCAATGCCGATCACGTATGAATGCAGCCACACATCAGATCTTGAACCTCAATTGTGTCTTGAGCCAAATGGCGATCAATGTAAGCAACACTAACACAGACCTCAGAACAGCTTCCCAATTTAGGCACGGGGCCTAGAGGGTTTTAACATCCCCCATTTGGGTCGCATCGTTCATCATGCGGTCCAAACACCACAAAACGTTCCACTGGCCACGGCTTCAGCTACGAAATCGTGTCGTGCATTCTTTTACTTGCTATCGCTACACCGTTCATTCGTTGTGAAACATGCCGGGTTCGATTGTATGAAAAGTGAAACATTCATCCACCAATCGAAGCGCACTCCCATATGCAGGTGTATACAATACACTATTGTCACGTCATTTGACCACCAGTGAACATCCCAGCTGCCGCATTTGCGCATCGCGCAGCCGTCATCCATAGAAAATGGGTTGGCCATAAGAGTCCAACAGAGGCGCCTGCTCGTAAGCAATCTGCATATCTCCGGCAAAGAAATATCGGTGAGCAACCAATGCAAATCATAGCCATTCCAGATACCATGGACAATGCATAAATAATGAAAAGGATATTATCCATGAGGTAATAGTTCCATCCACGAATATCCAGAATGTCATAGTCGTCGGAATATGTAACCATGTACATATCCAGTCAACTTGGACACATGAAATCATATCATAACGTAAAGTCGTTCCATCGCAATAGTGTCGATGAGATGCAAGCAACGTATGGGGACTAACCCACATCGTGCCGCAATCAGCATCTTCACTACGCATACCTGTCTCCAATGGACAGTCTGTGAGTGCGTCGACGGAACTCCTCGTCCAAGTTCTTCTGGGCTTCTCGTGCCCGGACACACTTCTTGTTGTAATCCTCTGGTAGCCAGTGCCCTTTCCGAAGGCACCAATCCAGCAGAGGTGTGTCGCACTTGTTCGGGTCGACGGCCGAGATGATGGCGCTCACGTTGACCGTGTAACCATATTTGCCAAGGTTCAGGCCATCCCTCACGAATGATATATACTTACAGTTGAAAGCCAGTGAAAAGCATCTGAAAATAATATCACCCACCGGGTGCACTCGGTCCTTGACCAGGAGCTTCATTTCGTCCTTGGTGACATCGAGGATTCTCGCTGCAATCCACAGCTTGTAGAATGTATATAGTCCCTCGCATTTGCACACCATCATACGAATATATTCTTCACGCTCCTCAACCGATCGGAAGACTCTTGTCCTAACATTCTCCGATTGAGAAATCTTCAGTGCTGTTGATGGCAAAAGTATACCTTCCTGATCGTGCTCGGTGATGTTGGGGTATCTCTTGAAGTCATTATGGTAAGGGCAGCCCGCCCTCCCCTCGAGCGCGGCATTCATCGTTCTCTCCTCACCACCCTCGAACATCCCCCACATCTTGGACATCTGGAGTGCGATAAACCCTGCCATGTACTGAGCCTCACGCGGCTCATCAAGGCAAATCGCCATCCGCTGGGAATTTATGATATCCCGTGACGTCAGATCAGTGTCGCGGTAACACCAACCGCTGTCATCCTCTTCTGACGCATAGCCGGATGTATATCCTTGCGTGTCCATGTCGTCTTCTTCTCCCGGAACTTCCTCCGCTTCGTCATCATCCTCCTGTGCCGCCGCATCGTGGTTGGCTTCTTCCTGTGCGCGCCTGGCATCTCCCGAGACGTTGGGGTTTTGGTTGTCCTCCTCATCGTCAGAGTTGATGTGGACGTAGTACCTCCCGGTGGAGATCAGTTGCGCCTCACATTCCAGGCATAAGCAGAAGCAGGTGGGGATCGCAGTCGCACATGACGGACATATCCGGCACCTCAGTCCTTCCCATGTCTCATCATTCAGGATGACGACTTTGCTGATTTCGTCCCTGACCTCGTTGACCTGCGCATTGAACTCCTCCATCTTGTTGTTCCGATAGAGTTCGCATGCACGATCAACCATGTCTATGATGTAGTGCAGATTATCGGCACCTGTCTCGGTCTCAGGCATCCTCTCGCTGATCTTTGCGACGTTCTGGAGGAACATCGCAGCCGACTCTTGGGATGAGTTGACGAAGCCAGGGCAGATCTCGTTCTCCACACACTTCGAGTACGCTCTCTTGACGTCAACGTACTCCAGGCGTTTCCCTCCGTTGCTTTTGCCAATCCAAATGGACTTGACCTCATAGAACGGGATCACGTCAAAGACCATGAATGTCCCATTTGCCGCGACTCCAGCTCCATACCGCGCGAGGGTTGCACTGGGAATGTAGATGATCGCAATCGGATCCCCCTTCCTTACGTTCCGTAGCGTCACCTTCGTTGCCACGTTCATCTCATCCCATGGGGCAAACGCTCCAAAGTGCAGTGCTAGCCTGTTACCGCCATCGATTCCGCCGGGGACTAACCCACAGCGTACGATGCTTGGCAGATTTTCCACATACGTCACATGGAATGCTCCTCCGAGAGAATCACCCATCCTTGCGGAATACCTATTTGCCAGTGCGGATGAGCTCATGAATCCAAAATCACTGTGACCAGTTGTGACTCGGATGCACCAAGGTCTGTACCATCCATCGCATCTGTTGAACATCCTGTCGATGTCGTCCCGATCCATGCCAGCTTTGGTCATTTCCTCCCTGGCCGCCCTAGTGTCGTTCGGGTTCATGATGCTTGGAAACCTTGCTGCCAGGACCTGAAATCTCGATTTCTTGCTTCCAGATTCCTGCCACTTGATCACCTCCATGATGCCCATGTATCGTTTCGCTCTCGAGGTGTTTGGTGGGAATATGTCGTTGTTCCGGTCGTCAATGACTGCATCAATGTCGACCCATCCACCTTCGTCGCACCTGAAAGCACTTCCTCGGCAGCTGCCGATCTTGTGTCGAAGGACTCGGCATAGGTCGTGAGATAGCTGGTTTGCTTGGTCTTTCGTAGCAAATACCGAGCGATCATCGCCAATCCTGCATAGTGGAGCACCGTCAAAAGGAGCAACGCAGAAGTTGACACTCTTGCCAAGCTGCATCACGTCCACCTGCTCAAGGATGGCACCTTTGGGAAAGTATCTGGGGTCAACGATGGACGCATACGCCCATGGCAAGTGCACATCACTCACGTCGCCATACTTCGGGATGTAGCACGGGATGGTGTCACATCCCATCTCAAGCGTCTTCTTGAATGTCCTGTTGTCCCCGCACGGGTTGTAGGTGAGGTCCACGCCACCACATTGTAGCTCTCCTCCCTCAGCCGTGTCAGCCATCTCCACCAAATTGATGGTATAGCTATACATCTCAATTGTTTCTTTCCCTGTTTGTCCTCCTCTCTTTCTTTCTTTGGACGTTGATGAGGACGGTTCCTCCGTATCCCCCATATCTTCATTCGATGACACGGGATCACTGCTGAGTAGCTTACGGAGCATCTTCATCGCTTTCTCGTTCCCAGCAGCCTCCTCAATGTCTTTGCAGTCGCCGTCGTGGGCCAGGTTCGCGCACTTCATGCAGATTCC